AGGAATTTTGGGACCTGTTGGGAGTGAGAAAAAAATTTCTTGGAGTTATGCCTCCTGATCTTTCAAAAATTTTTTTTTTTAATTTATTCACCTCATAAAACCTTATTCTGTAATCCCATTCAATTGACATGAAACATGGATTGTCAATAAATTGACGAGACTAACTAATGATACAAAAATGTTTTGATTCGAGGCCAAATGGGCTTACATTAAGTCTCTAGTATGTTTGAAGATTTTACAATAGGGATCAACAATTCATTTATTTTTGTGTAGTTGTAACAAATTTGTATCTAGACAAGTTGAATCTAACGAGCTCTTGATTATCTAATTATGTTTATTAAAATATTAAGATAGCATTGGAATCAACATTTGGGCTGTTTTAAGTGTTACTTGATACTGGAGGTTGTAAGCCTAAGTTGCATTCTCGCTTCAAATCGTTCTCAGTCAGATTCTTGCATGCTTGGTTAATTTTAGAACTTGAATGTCGCGAATCTATAATTTAGATCATCTGGTTAGAGAGATGACCTAGGGTATCTAACCTAAATACTTAGAATACTTTAAGCTTGACTTAAGTCTCAACCTCAGTTTAATTTAAGGATTGATTTAAGTTTAACCCAATTTAGCGGGAAAGGCGATGCGCGGCATGCAGACGCAGTTTTGCATAGTTTGGGGCGGCGGCGGCGGCGTGTCTCGGCGAAATTTTCCGCGTTTTCAGGATCAACCCCACGCCCTGCATTCGTTCCCGTAAGTATTGCCTGGCTACGCTCGACCTCTCTCAACATCTCATCTTCCCCCGCTACTCTGAATCCGAGAGCCTCATCATCTCCGGCTTCTGCCAGCTTCCTTGTCGCTTCACCTGTGTCTGTTCCCTTGAAGATTTCCCCAAGAAGACCAGACAGAGATACCGAAACTGGAGCTGCTCTGCCTAATCTGGTGATTCAGTGAGGTTTCCGGGCAATATATGAAGTACGAAGTTCGGTTATAACGGGAAGGACTCTTGGAGATAAAAGGGCCTTATGAAATGAAGATGGAGTCGGTTTGGATAATGGGGTGGGAAGTGAGGATGAGGCCATTTATTCTGGGAGACTGATGAGAAGTAGGCAACACAGTAATTGCAAGCAAGAAGAATTTTGGATTGCTGGCTTGAAGGGATGGCAAGATAGGTAATGTTAATGAAAATAGGAATTACCTGAAATCAATATTAGTTGTATGCATGTCAATGTGCGTGCTTGTGTTTGGTCATTGTTAAAGCTTCTACCTAATTTCTTTAATTTATAAAAGCTTTATAATTATGGTATAATAGAAGTTAGGAGCTTCGAAATATTAAGTAAATGGTTCATTTTTTGTAAAAATTAATATAAAAATGATGATGATATTGTTGTGTGAACCCTTAACAAACTTTTGTGCTTTAAAATGTACTGCATTCTTCATGCCTTCAACTCGAGGATGTGCGATATTTTTTATCTTTTGAATTTAAAGGATGTTTGTAATCAAAATCAGTAACTAAACTCCAAGGACTTAAACTTTCTTAGAAAACATTTGATGCTCAAGTTAAGAACTATGCTAGTTAAGAAGTCAGGTTAGCCAAATTTAAGGGTGGACTTTTGTTAATCAGCTATCTTTTTCCTTTATTTAAGGTCTTAAGTGAATGAGCTCAGGTTTTCCAAGTGTTGAGCATTTTAGTACTAGAGTGCACAGGGAGTGAGAGTGAAAAGACAAAAAAAAAAACTAAAGGTGATCTACACACCTATTTATAACAATTTCTAGGAGCGGTCCTGGCATTATTGAAGTTTATTGGCGTAGATGTCAGTCTATTTGTGCCTTATTGATTTTGATTATTTTAGTTGAGATAAGCTAACAATGCAAGTTTCAAGCACATCAGAATACTAATTAGACCTCCTTAATTCTTAATGTAGGGAGCACCATGATGCATTTGAAGCATGTAAAGTTGGCTATTTTTCGGGCTATTTGCAATTTTCATTTGAGGATTGGCATGCGTCTTAAGGAAATGAATTGAACAATGCTAATTTTGTTCAATTATGGATTATTAAGCCAATCTTTTGTTGATTTAACTCTTTCATCCCTTTAGTGACAATGAAGTGACAATAGTCGCCCATTGACAACTTTGATGACTGCTTTGGCATCAAGTCAAAATGACTTATTGGGTAGTGATGGCGGCATTTGGAAATAATGGAGGAGAAGATCACTCTGGATGCTGAAGGTGAGAACAATAGAGGCCATGAGGGTGTATTATGACTTAAATTACAAAACACAAAAGATTATTCATGGTTATTTAGTGCCACATGAACACAAAGTGATTACAAAACACAAAAGTTCAATTACTAGTTGTGCAAGTAACGATTGCCATAAACTTCTCTACTGATATAATGCCACCCTTGCGAGCAAGCTTAAATCAGTATACCAAGTTGAGGAAGCAAGAAAATCAAACCTCCACTTCTGTATAATAAAATATAAAGAAGAGATTGCTCATTCTACTATTATGTTGTCTTCTTCTCAAAGGAGCCTGGAAGATGTTTCTAATCATATTAGTAATCTATTCAACCTGGATATGCCCATTTGAACTGGCTTTCTTACCAAATTCACTTTCTTACGCGGAGAACATAGTGAATGGTTTCTTTGGAATTGATATAGCTCTCACTTTCTTTTGTTCCTGCAATCATCTTAAATCCTGTCTTCTGGTAGATGATCACAAGAGAATTGCAAAAAGGTACATATATTCTAAAGTAGGCATCTTCCAAAGTATAATAAGTTGATTGTAATATTTTGTATGTTCCTTCTACTTTATATTCTGCTATAATTTGAATATGTATATATTACTATTTTATTTAAAAAATTGAGAGGAAATGCAGCCATCCGTAGCAAAAATAAGGGCTAAATATAGAAAACTAGATCTTTTCTACAGGAGGCCGTAATTACAGGAAACTGGAATATATACATACATACCATTTTTCATTCTATGCATTCACATATCTAACAGTCTAAACTCCAATTACATACTCTACACTTTACCTATCCATGAAAATCTGCATTTTATTATTTAGAAGTTAGAATGGTAGGATATTTTATATATTATGAAAGATTTGGGGGTATAAATGTTAAAAATAAATTCTAGGTGCTAGAGATGTAAATGTATAGGATTTGGGGGGTATGTAGGCAGAATGCTACTCTCTGATTCAAAACAGAGGTTGTAGGTTGCAGTCCTCCCAAAAATTTGTCTTTTATTTGGTAATGAATTTAGTAAATGCTGTAAATCCGAGATTTCAAGCAAAACATTGAAGGAATTGTGAAAAACTAAAATTTACTATATCCTAGACTTAAAATAGAACACAACTTAAAACTTTCAAATTTGCACACAGCATTCAAATGAGC